GGAAAAAAAAAAAAAAAAAAAAAAAAAAAAAAAAAAAAAAAAATCAGCTTCTTCCTGTTCTCACAAGATGCGGCTGAGCAAGCCCCACCCCAACCCTGCCACCCGGGCCTGGGCTGGCAGGAGGGCCAGGCTGATGAGGGGCAAGGGCAGGCTCACCTGGGGGTGACCTTCTGTTCCAGGGCAGAGCCTTGGCACTGTCCCCACCTTTCCCCACTGTGTGAGGACTGTTGTGGGACTGTGTGGGGGGAGGCAGCAGGGCCCCCTGTCCTGGCCCAACCCCACTGATGGACGATGCCAGTGAGGTCTGGCCAGGGGCTGGAGCACCCGCGGCCTCTCCAGGAAAGGGTCTGCTGTGTGCGTGGTGACCTGCTGTGCGTCCCTTTTGTTGCAGCGCCACAGAGAGAAGGCAGATGTGGCGCAGTGAGGGGGTACGCAGAGGAGGGGGTAGGGAAGAGCACCCTGTTGCCAGCAGCTGAGCTCTCAGGGATCAGGACAAGTAGAACAGATCCCGGGCCACCTTTAGGGGAGTACTCTCTTCTTGCCCCTCCCCCATGCTTTGTAACACCTGACCTTCACAGACAGACAGCTCTCAAAGGAACAACAGGAAGGCTCAGAAAAAGCCTTGAGACCTGCTGGGCCCCGGCTGGTGGTTCCACAAGAGCCTGCACACCGGGAGCCCCACCCCTCACGCTCCTCTCAGCACCGAGAGGGCCTAAGGGTGCAGGGCTTTCTCACGGTGGGCCTCCTCAGACCCAGGGAGGCCCTGAGAGTCTGAAGCCCCTCCTCAGGCCGGGCCCCAGCTGTGTGTACCCTCAGACACCACAGTCACGCCTGGACTCACTTGAGAATCTTCCCAGCTGACGGCTGCTCCTGACCCCAGTAGCACAGGTCCACTCCGAAGGGCACAATGGGTGCCCGTGCCCGCTCTGCCACCAGCTTCTGGGTTTCTTCTGGCCCCAGCGGTGACCTAGAGGGGCTGCAAGGGCACAGGACCTGCTGACCATGCACTCCTGGAACTGGCCACAGCCACCAGCCCCCCCACCCCTGATGCAGCCCAGAGCCCTTGGTGTCATCACATGGTACGATATCCTCTGACCATGCTAGACCTGGGCTTCAAGGCAGCCATTGAGGTTCTGCGAGAAGCCCCGGCCACTGACAGAGAGCTGGCTTTTGGTCTTTGGCCCCTCGCCCTGGTCTGGGGGGGAACCTGACATCTGCCTCTTAAACCCCAGAGTAGATTCCCAGCCTCAGGGACCTGGGGGTGAGCTGGCCTAGAAAGGCATCTGTCAACGCAGCCCCATCATGCTCTGGCTGACACGCCGGCACTGAGGAACCTCATGTGCCCCACGGCCCCGGCATCATGTCACCCTGGCCAGGGGTGCCCACCCCACCTGCCTTCGAGTAGCCTGAGAAGGCCTTGGGCAGCCTGTCAAGGCAGACAGCACTGTGGGCAGAAGTGGCGCAGTGCCAGGCAGTGGGGTTGGCACACAGGACATCCAGCGGGTGTCACCTGGTGGAGGAGAGCGGGGGCAAGTGGCCCCGGAGCCGCTCCAGTTGGGCAGCAGCAGAGGTGGGGTCGGCCGCCTCCTCGTCCCTCCTCGTTCTCATCCTCGCCTGCAAGCCCTGCGCAGCTGGGTCTTTCTCCAGAGTCTGCAGCGGAGCTGGCTCTAGCCCTGAAACAGAGACTCGTGTCTGCTCCCGACCATCCCCGGGACTCAGGGGCAGGTCCTTCTGGGGAGCACCCTGCCTCCTCCTGTGGGGACCCTGTGGTGGAGACGTGTGCACATGTTGGTGCAGGTAATCCCCCAGCAAACCGTGAGGGGGTCCTGCTGCCTCCACCTCATGGACAAGGGGTTGAGGCAGGAGCAGCGACTGCCAGGCCATGTTCCGCAGCTGTGGTGGACGTGGGTGGGTATCCGGGTGGTCTGGCCCATGGCGCACACTGTCAATGTGCTGGGCTGCCTGGCTTTGCGGAGATGGTGCAGGAGAGCAGGGCCTAGGGCCCCCCAGCACCTGCAGGAAGCACCAACAGCTTCACCCACAGCTCCAGCTGCAGTGCTGACAGGAACCGACCAAGGGTCTCCCTTGAGCGCCCAGGCCCACGGCAGAGGGGACAGGGCCTTCTAGGTCCAAAAACAGGACACACACAGCCTGTGCGAGTGGCAGCCGCTGGGAGAGGGGCCTCCTGTGGTGCGAACGCGTGGTTCCCCGAGAACACACGGGCTGCCCTTGGCTGAACCTGAAGCAAGGATGTGGAAGGGAGACGGGTATTTCCCAACACAGGGCCGGCCTCACCTCCTGCGCGGTTTCAAGCCGGGAGTCAAACAGGCCTTTCCCAGCGCAGTCCCTATGCCGTTCCCTGTAGAAATACTGGGGCTGCTCCGCAGCTTCAGCCGATTCTGCTGAAGCCAAAGGTGGGCAGTGGGACTGGGGCCAGACCCTGGGCCAGAAACACCCTCCCTTTGGCTGCTGGGCAGAGGCCAAGCTCCTATCTAGCAAGACCTGCCACAGAGTACCCACCCGGCCACCAGGGAGAGGAGATGCTGGCATCACCAATGTCCCCACAGGAGACACAGAGATGAGGCCACCAGGCCCCTGACCACAGCAGCCCGGGGTCCATCCCCACATCCCCCCAGGGCAGGACAAGGACAGATTCCACAACACTACTGAACCCTGACCCTCCCCCCACCAGCCCCACCTGAACCAAGGCCAGGACATGGGTCTGGTTCTCAGGCCGCCCCACGGGGCCCACCCAACCCCTGCAGGAGCCTCTTAGTCGAGCACAGGCCTGCAGTCTCCATCTGCTGTCCAAGCTGGGGTCCAGAACTTCTCAGTGGTAGAGGGCACAGGAGGTACCAGAGGGCCAGGTACGGATCAGGACCCCAGAGGCCTTGCCACTACCCAAACTCACTGTGGGAGCGAGCAGGCTTGAACTAAGCTTTCCTCGCCAGCGTGCCGAGGTGGCTCACAACCCAGGAGTACAAACTGGCAGAGAAGTGGGGACTTCTAAGCACACTGCCACGGAGGAAAGAGACAAACCCGAGGAGGTGGGTGAGAGGAGAGCGAGTACGTCCCACACTCTCCAAGGGCTATGGGAGCACACTGGAAACATGAGGCAATGACAAGACATCAGAAAGAGGAGAGGACACTGGTGGAATAATCACTTGCTAGATGGCTGAGGGACTGCTGCAGCACGTGAGCCCCGAGCCATCTTGCACAGCACTGGAGAGGAAGTGTGGAAGTGCATGTTCACAGCTCAGAGGGTGGAGGCAGAGGTACAAGCGCCAATGTCCTCGTTTCTGGAATCCCAGCAGGAGAGAAAAAATAATCAGAGTATAGGAAACAGTTGAAGAAATAATAAGCCAAATTCTTCTGGAATTAGAAGGCTCGCTGAGCGTCCGAGGAAGAACCATGGCTAGAAATATTACAGAGAAATTTAGCAACATTAAAGATAAGAGAAAAATCTGAAAAGCTTCCAAAGAGAAAAAGCTGATACTTCAAAGAAATAAAAATCTTATCGACAGAGGCACTTTTCACAGCAACAGTGAATGCAAGACCTCAGAAAGGGTGTAAGGAAGACATTCCAGCCCAGAATTTCATACACAGCTGAACTGTCAGTGTGTGTGCAGATGAAGGACGGTGATCCCGCACACACGGCCCCATGAGGTCTGCCGCACCAAGAGTGGGGCGCTGTCTGGCTGCCCTCTGCTCTGGATTCCTTCCTGACTGCTCTGTGGTCTGATCCCCAGATGTCTGGGAACTCACATATGCATGACATACCACACGCACACACACGTGCACACATACATGTCTGTACAGACACTCTCTCATGGAACACACACACACTCACCGAATATGCATGTGGCCTTACCGGGTGTGCAGGCTTACTGAATATGTACCTTTTTCTCTCTGCGTCTATCTACAAGGGCTTATGGGTAACACTTTGTTTAAAGAGAAAGAGCCGAACTGGACACCAGTGAAGTACTTCAAGGCAACTCAGGGGCAGGGGCTTCCTGGGGAAGGAAGTGGGGACCAGGGCTGAAGGGGAAAATACACAATCAAGGAAGGGCCTGTGCAGGAGGTGATGACAGTGTCCTGTAGACAGAGGAGGTGACTAACTCCACTGTCCTGAGACCATAGAGGAGGGAAAGGCTGCCTCTCGAGAAGGGGGCCCAGAACCGGGGTTGCCGTGGGCCACTCCTGACTTGGGCCATTGGCTCTCTGCAGCAGAGGCTGACCTGACACCACACAGAAATGGCCACATCTGTCCTGCAGGCAGCAGAGTATGGCTGTGGGCCAAATTTGTGGGCTGCCTGTTCTTGTAAATAAAGTTTTATTGGCACACAGCTACACAACTGGTTTATGGATTGTCTGTGGCTGCTTTCACCCTCAAGGACAGAGATGGAGAACTGTGACGGAGAACTCGTGTGGCCCACAGAGCCAAAAACATTTACTCTCTGGCTCTTTATGGAAAACACCTGCCAACCCTGCCCTAGAAAACCCCCAAGCCTCGTGCATGACCGCATAGGTGCAGGACCTACTCCTCTCTCTCAGATCCCCACAGTGGGGACACAGCCACTCAAAGAAGGCCACAAGGCCAGACCTTCAGCTGCCTCACGTCATCTGGGCTCTGAGGCCTAAGACCTGGCTGTATGTAGTTGCATTCAGGAGACACCGGGCAACCCCTACTCACTGTGTTGTCTAGTACAACGTCCCAGGTTTAGTGTGCAAAAACTTCCCAATACTCCCCACTAAGTATTTTCACAATGCAGCATCACTAACTGATGCAGACACAAGGCAGCAGTCTCACCGTGCACACACGGCAGGCCCGGGACACACACACAGCGAGGGAGGCAAGATCGGTAAGTGGACAACGTGACATTTAGATAGATACAATCACAGCCACAAGATCAATGCGAGAATTCTTAAGAGTTACAAGAATGAAATATATTTTTCATTGATTTGTTGTTTTAAACCATTAAAAAGATAGCTAAGCGTGTTAAAGCAGGGTAAATACTCAGGGCACTAAAAACACACTGCCATTCTCCCACTGTTGTAGAAAATCAATCTCACTGACACACTTTCAAAGCAAGAATCCAAAAAGCAGACGGCGTTCCTCGGGCACCAAGAGCGCGCGTCTCTGGCTGGAGGCACAACTCCTGGAGAAACAAGTGCAGCATCTCGGTCAAACCCAACCGGCGGCACCAGCAGCCGTGCCGGCACCCGGCCCGGGCACGGTGTCCTGGCTCAAATTTACTCCCACGGTTGCTTTTAGAAAGAATCATAAAAATGTCCAAATCCCCTTTTTTGTTTAAATTGACCAAGTGGCACCCATCTGCCTGGAGTACCAAAGCAGACAGTGCAGGAGAGAGAAATCGATGGCAGGAAATGGAGAGGCTGGGGCTCCGGCGCAGAGTTGGGCTGCGGCGCTGACATTATTGATCTTACCTAGTTCAGCTGGCCTTGTAATTAAAATGTAAATTTGAGAAAGAGATTATGTCCTGACAGAAACGGTAGGATTAAGGGGAAGATAAAAGCCCCTCAGTGAAAATTCAGAGAAAGAAACGAGAAAGAAAAAGAGCACTGGCTCCCCAGCCGTGTGGATTTAGACTAAATCTAACTACTTCAGATTCACCTATGTCTAATTGAAAAAACAGCGGCAGAATATAAACGGGTATTATGAACTGAGCTCGCCCCAGCACACTTCCTGTGCAGTCCCACGCCTCCAGAGCTCGGGGCTGCCGGCTTATTTTTTCCAGGGCCTTTGAGGGCTCTCTCTTCATGTGGTATAAAGATGAGGTGGGGCTCCCCATCCCCCATCCCCACAAGACCAGTGCCCTGTCCCCTGGCCCCTTGAGGATGGGCCCTCCTGGGAATGGCTCCAGGCAACTGGTCACCATGACCTGACCCAGGAGCCTGAGGCCCCCAGCCTGGAGAGCCGTCTCGGCTTGAGTGGTGGCCTGTGCTGCCAGCTGCTCCTGAGGATCCTGCACCTTCAGCCCAGGGCTGGTGTGGACAGCCACCGAACTCTCACATGGAGCTCGTGCAGCATCCCACAAGCCCACCCTGGGAGCCATACGCACTCCCCACTGTCCACCTATTGTCAACATGATGGTCTAGAGAACACGAATGTATAGCACCTGGGCCAGACCCACACTGGCCGTTGCCACCTTCAGGACTAATGACAGACATCCTGAGTCTCTCAAAGAAAAGGGGTGACCCAGGCGGCTACCCTGTCCCCTCCCCAGCTCCTGAGGCCCCTCACCGTGGGCACTAGGGATCTGAGCCCTGCTCACACGTGGCCTTCAGAATAAAGTGCACATCATGATGCAGTTGGACAAGCACAGGGGAGGTGTGCACAGTCATCTGCTGCATGACAAACCACCCCAAGCTCAGTGCTGGAGCCACCAGCCATTGTATGAGGCTCGTGGATGTTTCTGGGTCAGGAACGTCCCAGTGGGGATGGCACATCTCTGCTGTGTCGTGCCTGGGACTGAGCCAGGAAGACAAAAGCCCAGATGGCAGCACCTAGATGTCTTCTCCCACATTTGGTGCCAGGCAGGGCAGCCCACAAGTGGGGTGGCCCACGAGCAGGGCTCACCTGGGAGGCCAACCTGAGTACCTGCTCGAGACTCCTCCATGTGGCTTGGGCTCCCTCCCAGCATGGCAGCACTTGGTGTCCAGCCTCGCAGGGCCACTCAGGGCTGCGTCCAGGCAAGGGTCCCAGCAAGCCTGGCAGGGGCTGCAAGGCCTTTTACAAGTCAGCTCCTTCTGCTTGACCTTATTGATCAACAGTCACAAGCCACCAGACTGAAGGGGGAGGGGACATGGGCCCACAGACAGGAAGGTGTCAAAGGAAGCACAGCCGCTCCACAGCCCCCAGCTGGGGACTGGCAAGTGCGTCTCTGCTGTGCCCGCGTCCTCAGTGGCAGAGTTGAGGCCACGTGGAGTCTCTGATATTACTGGCCATGCCAAAGCCACAGGCCAGAGGGAAGCCACTCCGTTCCTTGAGGAAAAGCACCTTGTTTGTTTGCTTTCCACTCTGGCCTGGCTCCAGGTAATGCAAAGTCAGGAGTAAGGTTTTAAGAACAGATTTCTGCCATTAAGACGTCACATACCACCAGATTTCCCAACGTGAGACTCACAACTTCTACTGAAAGGACTCAGAAGCTGTCAAAACAGGAATGTTCAGACGCCCAGGGACAGGAAATGTTAGCAGAACTATAAGCCAAGGGTTAGTACCGGCTCCCAGACTCCCCTAAGGACCCCTGAGAAGGAGAAGCCTGGGGCCTTATGGCCACACATCCCAACTCTTGCCAAGCACCTGGCCCTGGGGTTAAGGGAGGAGGAAGAGGCAGCCCAGCAGGGCCAGGGGAGGGCTGGGCAGATGAGACTGCCCAGGAGTTGGGTGCTGTGCACGGGTAGGTGCTGTGCTGCCCCCGCTGCCGGCCATCCTGGACCCAGGCAGCGTCAGACATGGCCACACTTCAACCAGCACTTTCCTGAGGCTAGGCTCATGGCCTGGTCCAGCTGAGGACAGCAAAGCACTGGGTAGGGGCAAAGGCTTTCCTGTGCATGGGGAGGCCATTGAAGCTGCCAGCAAGGGCACAAGTCAGGCCCAGGCTTGGTGGGGGAGGGTCTGACCCAGCAAGGTCGGTATGGCTGGGGCCAGAGGGCGAGGAAGGCAAGGTTGGGAGACAGCCCTGCTGGGCGTTGGCACCGCCTGCCCACTGCATGCCGGTTACCTGGCCTGTCTCTGCTGAGCTAGGGACCCCTGGAGGGCAGGACGCAGGCCTGAGTCACTGCTGCACTCCTTGTCCAGAATGGGCCACACCCAGGTGTGCCCAGGGAGGGGTCATGCAGCCGGCCCCCTGTGTCTGAGGTTTCTTTCTCATTCACACAATGACCCAGGTGCTCAGCCTGCCCAACCTGGGACCTCCCCCAGTCCTGGTGCAGACTGCGGCTTGCAAGTAAACAGGGACTGTACAAATGGAAGGTTGTTAGAAGCCTCGTTGTGTTAATTTGGCATGACACCCCTAATGGGTCATATCTTCACACATGAGCTGTCTAATCATCTAAATTCTTTGAACAAATTTACATTTCATCTTCAGACTCCAATCCAAATGACCTGTCTACTTCACCACCAAAGCCAAGGGTCCTGCTCCTGTCCTCCTCCTCTCAGGGCGAGAAATGTGGGGCCACAGGGACCTTGGTCCACACCCCTGCTCCCTGAAGGCCACAATCCCGGGTGCAGAATGTGGCTCTCAGAGGTGTTTTTGGAAAAGAACATTCTAGATAGAAAAGGCCTGTTGCAGCTATGCTGTGCGCCTCCCCAGCATGAGAGCTGCTGCCTGCCATGGCCCAGCCACCAGGTCTGGACTCCTTAATGCCCAGAAGGGATGTGCTTTACTTGTGACACCTCCTGAGAAACGGCAGTTGGTGAGGAGAGCCTGGAAAACGTGGGTGGCTGCCTCCCACCCTGCAGGGCTGACGGGCCTTCTGCCATCCCTTCCTCCCACCCCCAGAAACAGCCCCCATGGCTGTGAGAGTCATACACAGGAGCCAGCCGTCTGCTCCGCGAGATGCCCGCTTCCCACCCTTGGACTCATTCTTGTGAATGAGACCTGTCTGTCTGTCCCTGGGCAGGGCTGCATCAGAACAGGGAGTGTCTGGAGACGTCAGGGTGGGGGTCGGACCCGCTCCCCTCTATCCACAGAGCAGGACCGTGAGTCCGGGTCTCTGTACCTCCACACACAAGAATCAATGGTAGAATGGTGATTCCTGCCCCAGGCAGGACCACCGTGGGGGATGGGAGCCCACCTCAGGGCAGGCCACGGGGAGGGATCCAGGTCCAAGACACACTCAGGGCACAAGAGGACAGTCACACACTTTTATGAAAGCAGCAATTACTGACACAACAGCTCCATGCATGACACTGCAAGACGGCCTGGGGCTACACAAGGCCCAGCTCCCTGCCCCTTGGAGGGTGCCCAAACCCCCGGGCATGTGATCACAGCCCCCCCAGGCCCTCACCTGGGCCATCTGCTCCCCGCCTCCCCCCCAGGGCCCTGCCCGCTACGGGTCTGTCTGCCTACAGCTTACCGTACTCGGCCCGTAGGTGGCCGGGGATGTGGGCCTCGTACCCCTCCTTCTCTGGAACCTCCACGAAGTCCTCGTCCTCCTCATCTTCCTCTGCATCCCCAAGGGCTTCTGTCTGTGGAAACACCCCCCAGTACAAATAAACAAGCTGCAGGCCCCCTGTGTGAACACAGGTGTCAGAAGGCAGAGCTGGGAGAGTCCCATGTCTCGTGGAGCTTCTCTAGTTCAGGAGTTGGGCCTCGGCCACACTGGATTCCACGATATCGTCTTCAGGGTGCTTTTCTTCCCCAAATCACATCCCCTCTACTCTGCTCCTCTGTTGGGGCCATTTAGAGTCTATTTGTGTTAAAACCACAAATTGTGACCCTGCCCAACTCGCCAGCACCCCACGGGACACGCTCTCCCCTCCATCCCCGCCTGGCATGAGCTTCAGGGCTCCAGAGCGAAAGGGCTCTTGAGAGAGCAGATGTCACTCCTGGTGGTTTGGGTGACAGTCATGTCCGTTCTCAGGGCAGGTGGGCCATCATCGTGGATGACAAAAAGGGATGAACTTTTCTGGGATATTCTGTCCTTAAGAAGGACTTGTTAAAAGCCACCTTCCCCTGCCAGGGTCGGGGTGGTGCGGTCGCTCACGGTAAGTCCTGGGGGACGCCCGGGTGCTGCTCAGCCTCCCTCCCTGCTGAGGGCCTGAAGAGTTGCACAGGAAGGCTGTCTTTCCCCCCCACTCCAAGAAAACCCAGTTTCTCGAGCCTACCCTGCCCTCTCCCACGTCTGCCTTGGTGGGCAATGGTAGGGATCTGCGTGGCTGACTTATGGCATCAGGCCAGAGGGCGACAACAGCTGTTCGGCAAAGCAGGAGCGTGCAGCACACACTGGAGCTGCAGCACTGCGGTGACCGATAGCCGCAGCTACACACATGGAAACATGCTGGAGCCTTGGACAGCTGTGGAAGTAGGTGTCTGCAGGCAAGCGCTTGCCTGCATGGCCCCTGCTGCAGGAACAGCCCCATGGGCAGGTCTTTCCCGCTCCACCTTCCCGCCAGCCTACATCCAGGACAGGGTGTGGGAATGCGTGCAACCCCACAGGGATCCTGTCCTTCCTGAGAAGCCCACCCGCCACCCACCAGGCAGCTGGGCTCAGCCCACTGGGAAGCCATGTCTGCACTCAGCTCTCAGGCCAGGCGAGCAGCCTGTCAAGCCCCAGGGTCGTGGTGCCCACTGCTTCCACAGCACACCAGCCCAGCTGATGGAAACATCCAGAAAGGGAGATTCCCGTTGTGCAAATTACAATCAATGGTACTCTCCTAAGGTTACAAAAGAAAAACTCTGAAAAACTTAACCATTCCGCCACATGCCTTTATTTTTAAAAATCACTACCCACAGCAACACTCAAAAGTGCAGTTGTTTTCTGAAGGCAGGAAGGATGATCTGAGGGGCCACTGACTCCCCAGGCAGGAGCTCATGTGCTCATCACCAGAAGCCACTCCCAAGTAAGTTACAGACAGTCTGGACACAGACCTCCAGCCCACAGCAGCTGACTTGTGGAGGCATCCCAGCTTGGCTATAAGTCACCAGGCAGCGCCAGCTCCAGGAGCCCCGGAGCTCAGGGCATCGGCAACCGTATCTGGCCATACCTGCCCTGCACACTGTGGAGGAGACTGCTGCTGGGAGAGGCATAATCAGATGCAAATGCACTTTGTTTAGGTGCGGCCCACGGCTGTGCATCTGGAAGCGCAGGAGACATTAATCACTGGAAACTGTAATTTTTGTTATCAGTCTAACACTGATCAAAAGGGAAGCCTGTCCCTACCGCTGACCTGTGAAACGTCCCAATTATACTCTTTGGAAATGACAGGGGCACTTAACTCCCGAGCTGAGCAAATGACGACGATCAATCACGTTTGAATAACAATGAGCCACGGACCTGAAAATTATTTTTGTATAGAATCTACCCAGGAATTTATGAAAGGTGGAAAGCAGCCCAAGGTTTTAGGGCATTACGGCTCTCAGCTAGTGCAGCGCGTATCAAACACTAAACAGAATTTATGTGTTTTAATTTTCTAAAAGGTAGATGTGGACTGGGTGCTACAATGCATAACACACAGTGCCTGGTGTTAAATATGGGGGTCATTTTCATAAAATATTACGCTTATTGCTCACACCCTTGAATTTCACTGGGGACTTTTATCAAATTTTCATTTCCTAAAAAATATTTAACTGCTTAGCTAACTATTAGGAATTATACCTTCTTTCTTCCCCACTAAAATCATTTATTTCTGTGATTAAATTTGGAGGCCTGGGTTCCTCTGTTTTTAAATTGGCACTGCCGAGGCCTTCCTGGGCCGTGTGCATCTCCCTCTGTAAACACCTGCCAGGCCCTCCAGGAATATCCCTGTGTCTAAATAGACCCCAGGGCTTTCTCTTGGGCAAGAGCCAACCACAGCCTTCCATTTCTATACTTTAAACTATCTGGACGCTGGGGTAACCCACTCCAACTAGGCAACTTAGAATTTAGAGACTTCATTGCTAATACTAAATTTAAACTTGAAAGCTTCCATTTTCAGGTTTTAATTCATGTGGGATAAACTCAGATGTCTGAAATCCATGGTGCACAAAGCTACCTCAGACACCTGACACCTGGTGGCTGCACTTTAGGGATGAGCAGAGCTGTTTCTGGTGTTGGGAAATGCGGGGCAAGCTCCACGCCCCAGCTGCCAGGACCCTTGTATGACCTGCCCAGGCCGGTTCAGAGAAACACGGTCCGGAGGGACAGTCCTCACCACGACCTCAGGAACGCAGTGCAGCCCTAAGGGACATGTAAGGCCTGCATGGAGGAGTCCTCTGAGCACTTCCACGGGTCTTCAGTTTGATTCCAAAAAGTCATTATCAAATTGTTTCAGGTGGTGGCTGCAGCAGTGGCAACCTGCCCTCAAGGTTACAGTGAGGTCAGACAGAGGCTGGAATGGAAAGACGGGGGTGGGGGACGCGGGAGTTGGGTGCTACAGCACCCCGCTGCTTCTACTGACGGGCAGGGCACAGGCGGCTGGGGGGCAGCTGGACCCCGCCTGGATCCTGGAAAGGAGATCGCATCCCCTAGGGTGTCGCGGGTGGAGAAGACCTCAACATGGGGTCAGACTTGGAACATGTTCTCAAGAGAGGTTTGCTTTTGACCCACCTGGGAGCCGGGTTTTCGAGTGTGACGAGACAACACAATACAGGCTTGAGCAGCAGGATGAGAAGTTGTGCAGGGCCGGGCTCCTGTGCTCACACCTGCCCTGACAGGTGAAGTCCTCAGGAGGCCCAGGTGGGTGGTCAGAGCCCTGTGGGAGAATCAGAAGCCTCTCCGCCAAGAGGCTGGTCCCCAGTGCAGAAGCCACAGACCCCCAACACGGACAGGGCCACCCCCACCCCACCCACAGGATGTGAGGCTTCTCCTGCTCCTATGGCCTGGCCTCTGATGAACACCCCAAGGCTGCCACCACAGGGAGGCGTGCAGGAGCACCCTGGGGCCTTGGCTGGTTTTATACAAATTGATTCTAACCGGTTAAAAGGATTTAGAAAAATGAGCCTCCACGATCATAATTAAACAAGCAATAAAATGGCTAAAATATACAATGCAATCAGTTTACAGAAGTAGGGGTAGTGAGGTTACTAATTATTTGAGAAGGAAGGGACAGAGCAGCCTGCGGCCGGGAAGCAGTCTGCCCGCTGCACACACGGCCTGGAGATACAGCTGGGACCATTAAATAAATTTTGTACGATCTAATTAACTTGGTGTGCAGTCTCAATTACTTTTCACCCAAGAAATCACTTTTGTTCAGTTTTATGTGTGTCTGTTTCCCTTTTTTTAAAAAAAAAATGATGTAAGGCCTCGTCAGACAAGTGAGTTCCAAACTGCATTTGTCTTTCAGCGGCTTGATGGCTATGCATTTAAAAACCCATTCTATCTTATAAACTAAAAATTAAACGTGCTCAGCTGTGATGGTCGTCATTGCATCTGCTATTTATATGCTAATGCCCTCCCTGGAAGGCCGTGCAAATTGCCGGCCAGGCCAATATCTCATGTACATCTCCGGCTGCCAGGGACGCACCTTCAGAGGACAGAGGGTGGCTGAGGCTGGGCTGACCACGGTAGGGACAGCACCTGGTGGGCAACGCCACTGGGCAAAGTGACATTCTCAACTCCTAAGTGAGAATCTGAAAATTACACTGAGGCAAATCATCACTTTCTAGAATGACTGCCTCTTCATAAAATCTACACTCATCAAAAAGATCCCACAATAACAACAAAGCACACAGTGGCAGGCTTTTTCCCTTTCTCATCTGATTTGAACCAGTAACAGTAACGAGGCTGTGAACAAACCTGCCCCTGGAAGTTGCCTGTGCACCTGCCACCCAGGCATGGGCTGGGAGCCCAGGCAGATACAGGCCACTTGTCCTGGGCCTGTGCTGCTCTCCAGATGGACAGACTCAGGCCAGGCCAGCCTATTCTCCTGTGGCGGCCAAATGGGGGCTTGCCACCACATTCTGCATAAGATCTGTTCTGAGCAGAGGTGGTGGGACTGGCTGCTGCAGAACAGCAAAGTGCGTGGCACCCAGCAGCACGTCAAGCCACAGGTCATCTGAACTTTACGTGAACTAACATCACATCCAATAGAGTGTGTAATCACGTCTTAGAGCAGCCAGCATCTCCAAATCTGGTAACTCCTAACACCCCGCCCCTCACAAGCTCTGCAGAGGAAGCTGACTTTGGGCACACACGAGGAAAGCTGCATGCCCACCAGCTCCAGGATGACGACGCACACACGCTCTCCTCCCAGATGTGGAGAAGGGCCCCCCACCTCAGCCCAGCCTCCTCAGGTGAGCGTGTGCTTGGCCAGCCCGCAGGAGCCAGAGGGTGTGCTGTGTGTGTGGCCCCAAAGCTGAAGTTGCAGTTGGCACATTCATCAGGCGGCCCTTCCCACTGGACAGCCAGACCTCGGCAGAGGCCAAGGCTTACATCCCCAGACCCAGTTTTCTCATCTGTAAAATGGGGGTAATAAAAGAACCTATGGGATAGGGCTATTTTTGGAATTAAAAGAATGACACATAGGAAGGTATTGAGCAGAGAGCCAGG